TAATTACTATATATATATATATATATATATATATATATATATATATAAATCAAATCAATTATATATCTACTCACCAAAGATTCCTCAGTGGCCTTAGAACCAAGAACACTTTTAAAGGCTTCAAGAAATCCTTTTTCCTTGTCTTTGGAGCCCTCACCAATTGCTTGAAAATATTCACTTTCAAAACCTACAAAAGAGTTCACTTTTTTTTATCAAATTTTGCAACATAAGCTTAAATATCTCCTCGTTGAAAAATTATACTGTATAGATAGGTTTATCAGACTTCTTTTTTTATAACAATTAGTATTTATAACAATATTATAGTATAACAATCAAATTTTTTTTGAAAACAATATTTCATGTTACACTATTATTTTTTCTTTATAATAATATTTTTCGATAGCATTAAAAAAATCGAGACAAATGACATCGTTATAAAATAATTTGATTGTACACCTTAAAACTCCCTAACTTCTTTATAATTTTAATCTCCCAATGGAGAGGGGTAATAAGTTTTTAAAAAACTTTTATAAAAGAAATTAAGAAAATTTATAATTCTTTTGGGGGAGTGGGTTATGAATTTTTTTACTCTTTCTGTCTTAATTTACGTGACTTATTTTTCTTTTTAATATTTCTATATTAAGTAACAATTTAACTATAAAATATATATTTTAAACTCTTAATAAAAAGATTTACAACCACACAAATTTCTATCATTTATTGTAGCCCACGAGTTTTAAAAGTCTTTCTTTCTTTCTTAAACTCTATGTCGAGTCAAACTACCTCACATAAAATGAAACATCATGAGTTTTTTTTTCCGGAGGGAGTGTGTAAACACGCCTACATAACACCATATATTAGCAGTCAAACTAATCAGTGATAATTTAAATATGAAATGACTCACACTCTCAACAGTTTATATATAAAACTAAAAAAAATATCAAATAGTTTAACTGTGTTTTTAACGTTCACATACCATCTAAGAAGCTTGCTAGCTTTTCAAGATTTGCAATAATAAGATTATGAAGATCTTTTCCAGCCCATACTGGTCTAATGACCAATGATATAACCATGACTGTTGCAACACTAACCATAATAGTTGATATCCTATACTTAACCATCTCCAAATACCTATCACCAGACACTGTGACCAAACTAAATGTTGCCACAGAGAACATGCAACCATAGTCATACCTCCTTTGCATATGTGGATAAAATCTTGTAAATGTACCTAAAGCACCTGCATAATCAGAGGCGGATTCAGAATTTAAACAGTATAGGATATAATTTCGATACTCTTGTTCAACTAGGGGTGGACATGGTATGGATGGTACAGTATGGTACTGAAAACTTTGGTTAGGTAATTTTTGTTTTTTTAAACGTATTATACCTAATTAATTTGGTACGGATCGGTATTTCAAAGTTTGATTTCTGTATTTTGCGGTACGATCGATTTACATTATAAATTTATATTCCTTCCGTGTCATTTTATGTGGCAACATTTGACCGGGCACGGATTTTGAGAAATAAATGAAGACATTGAAATGTTTATCAAATTGTCCTTCAAAAGTAGACTCATTTTTCTCTCTCCTCATAAATGTATTTGAGTACTATTTTTAAAAAAGAAAAGACTCAAATATGTCATCGAACTTTCAGAAAAGGCTCATTTATGCCATCAGTTAAAAGTTTGGCTCATTTATGTCATTACTGTTAAAGAAAGGACTAATTCATGCCATTATTTTTTTAACAACGGTTTTGCAAAACCATTTTTGACATGTGGTCAATTATAATTCGGCCACGTCATCAATTTTTTTTAATTATTTAGTTTCATTTTCGAATTATTGACAGCCTTGAAAACACCCCCTAATTGACTAACTAAACTCATATACATCCCTGATCTACCACATTACAACGTAACATGAGACTTGTAATAAAAAGCCGAAAAAAGTATTGAAAATACTCCTAAACTTAAAGAGAATCTAGGAGTGTATTTCACTCATTGTACAAGATCGAGAATGTATTTAAGTCCAGATAATTAAGTAAAGGTGTGTTTTTAAGACTATCAATATAGTTTGGAAATGAAACTAATAATCCATATTCCATTTTTTTGGGATTCCCTTCCGGTGTCCGGAGCCCACATGGAGCTTCGAAAAAATTTTGGATTTTGCTCTGAAGGGCCTATTAGGGGGTGACACTCCCAACAAAATTTTCTCCATACCTAGGTTTCGAACTCGAGACCTTCGATTAACAATAAAATACTTCCACTAATGCACTACAACCCATGTTGGTGTGACGATTTCCATTTTTTTTATAATAGAGAAGAAGATTGTATTGTGCATGCATATCATACCTAGAATGAAGACCAAAAACCCAAGAATTATAGGCTCCCCTTCTTTTCCACAAATCTCAGCTAAATATTTAGCTCCAATCCCTAATGACACACCTAATGCTGTTGCAAATGCTATGTTTAAGCACTTTGATATAGTTGCACCTGAAAATAATAAAAACCCTTTAACATGAAAATGAAATGTAAAAAAAAATAATATATATATATATATATTAAAAAATTATCTATACTAAACCTATTTAGCATTAGATAATCAACAAAATATGTTAAAGACAAGTAGTTAAACAATAAAATTCATCGCTAAACCTATTTAACATCAGATAATCAAAATTTTATGTTAGTTAACATCGAAGTCTATAGCTAATTATAATTACTCCCTCTGTTTCAAAAAGAATGATTTGTTTCAAAAAGAAAGATCTTTTCTTTCTTTTTGGTAACAACTTTCCACGTGACGTGTTTAAGGCCACAAGATTAAAGGACAATTTTGTACATTTGACATAACTTTAATTTAGGACCACATGACCAAAAATTTTCTTTATCTTTTTTAAACTTCGTACCGAGTTAAACTAGACCAGTCTCTTCTAAAACGGAGGGAGTATTTTATTTTTGTAGTGAAGATTTACCAGCAGTGTACTCAAATGCAACCATGACTGTGAGGACAGCCATGATGGCTGATTGTTCAAAACTATGATAAAGTGGCCATGAATAATAAAACAATATAACCAAAGTAAGTGATAATCCCACTTTGGATGCATGCCAAATTTTTCTTGGATCATTTTTTCCAATATTTATTGTGTTATTAGCAATGTTGTTAATTTTGTTTATCAACTTCATTGGAAACCACTTGAGTTGATTCCACAACATGTTTAAAACACTATTTTTTTCTTGGATTTTGGAATCAATATCCATTGGAAAATGATTGAGTTTGGTATAAATTGAGAAAGAAATAAAAAGGTGTTAGGGTGAAAATGTGCACACAATTGAATACATTAACATGTTCAATTTATAGTTTAGGTGAAACAATGGGATTTGACTTATTTTACTTTTTTGGAAATTTTTCATCCACAAATTGAGCATCTAGCTTTTCCTATATTGATCTTTCATAATGAGAAGGATAACTAGCATTATTTGCGAACTGAGTCTTATAATGATTATATTAGATGGGTACTAAGTTCAAATATAAAATATGTGTCATTGTGCGAGGCTTTCTGGAAAAAATCGTGTGGGCGTGGGTCGCGTGACCTAAAGAGAATAGTATGATTGTCACGA